AAGATTCTTTGAGCATACAAAAAATGGAGCAAACCTGTTCTGCAACAGACTTGAGTGCTTCTGTTGCTGCTTTATGTTTTGAAGATTGTTTTGCAGCTAATTCAAAAGCGTCTTTAGCTGCTTTTTGAAATCTCTCAATCTCTGTACCTTGATTATTACATCTCTGCTTCAAATTCTTAACCTAAAAGTTTGAGTTGTTTCAATAATGAGTTAGGTTTATTATATTGTTAGTGTTTGGTGATTGGAAAACAAGAAACAAGAAATAAAGATACCTGACTCTGTAGTTTTGTCATTTCTTGGTTCATAACTTCGTTAGTCTTTTTCAAACTATCGATAACGCTTCTTGAAAATCCAGAAGTGCGTGGAGGGCTCGTTCTTCTTGCATAAGGAGAGGATGATCTTGGAGGTGGAGGCGGTGATGGGGATGATGGTCCAACAACAAGTGGACGCGGTGGAGTAGTAGTAGGAGCAATAACAGGTTTGAAAGCATTTTGAATGGCGCTAAGCGAACTCGGGAATGCAATGTCTTTAAGTTGTTGGAGAGATGGAACTTGCGAGGCACGAGCATTAGAAGAATCAGGTGTGAGTCCAGGCCTTGATGATGACCTGACTGAATTTGTATTTGCGGACAAGAGAACTTTTGATGACCTTGTTGTTTCTTTGTCACTTCTTACTGACCCATCTATTGACCGTCCTGGAGTTGCAACATTCCTGTTTACATTAGAACTATAACCAGACTCTGCCGCTTTAAGTTTGCTGTAACAAGCATCGCATACGCGATGTGGTTTCCCCGGAGTTGGAGCTAATGCTGCTTTTAGAGCTTTCTTTGAGCTACAAGCATGACAATGGACTAAACCACAATTATAACAATTATGCCTCTTCCGAGTAAATCCGAATGCTTGACGACATCCGGAGCAGATTGACTGATCTGCTCCAGATACCCATTTATGTATACATATACTCGACGTAAAGTTTGAGCCGCAAGATAAGCTCTTCACATGCCTATCTCTCAAGGCTTCAACACAAGTTGGTGTTCTTTTATCCTCTGTATCTCCATGTCCTAATCTTCCATTAGCACCTTTTCCCCATGTGAAGACTTCACTTCTAGATGTCAAAACCGCAACATGGTGATCTCCGCACGCGATTTCTTCCACGAATTCTCCAACCAATCGATCTTGCACCAAGCATGGTAATTTACCATCAGATATTGAGTTACCTAGCTGACCATGCGCGGTACCACCCATAGTAAAAACATGTCCAGAAGTTGTGAGTGCGACGGTAAATGTATGTCCGCAAGCAATCTTATGAAAGTTGTAGTCAATAAGAGAAGAGACACAAGTTGGAAGCAAGTAAGTCTCTTTGTTTCCATGTCCCAATCTGTTTTTGTCACCATCACCCCAAGTAAACAACTTCCTAGATGACATACTCGTACCAGTCTGACCCATAACCTCGACAATCGCAGCGGTATGCCAGATACTACAAGCTACTTTCACAGTTTTCAAACCGTTTAACGACTGTACTTCCTTAGGATACGAAACACTTTCTCTGTTTCCATGACCCAAAACGCCAAACGCTCCATCACCAAACGTGAATAGCTTCCCGTTCGCAGTAGCTAAAGCCGAATGCCATGTTCCACAAGCAACTGAGAGTACTTGAAGACCTTCTAAAGGACCAGAGACTCTTTTAGGTATCCAATGGCTAATATCACTACCATGTCCTAATAGCCCAACATTATGGATTCCATCTCCCCATGAAAACAAGTCACCAGAGGTAGAAACAACACAAGTATGATATTCTCCACAAGCAACAAAATCTATGTTGGTTAGAGCAAGAAACTCAACTAGTTTCGGACGACTAATATCGACTTGAATACCATGTCCAAGCCTTCCTCCAACTTCTTCTCCCCAAGTGAAAACCTCTCCTTGTCTTGTCACAAGCGCAACGTGCCTTACACCGCAAACAATCTGATGAACATCAAGCACAACGTTTGATTCCAAAGGTCTTGGAGTCAGTACATCTGTTTTCACTGTTTCTTTGCTAACAGTTCCATCTGGTAATATCCCTTCAGTCCAAACCTCACCCCAAACGTAAACATCACCTAATGATTCAATATCATCTGGACCAGATCCTCCACTTGAACAACTTGGTGTGCTTGAGACACTGATCCGAAAACCATCCGTACTTGGTCTTAACATGTTTCCACGTTCATATCCCACATCTGAATTGTTCTGATAGCCTAAGTCAATTGATGTTCTACCTCTCGGAATATTGTTTGGGACAAAGTCTATAGATTGACGACCAACAGAGAAAGTGTCACTGTCATGTATCTGAAAAACAAAAATGAATCAATGCATTATAAATTCGACTAGATATGTAACAAAATTTATATAAATTATGAAGAACATACCTCAGGGATCTCACTTCTGGCGCGTCGATTACGACTTTTTTCAATCAAAAATTTAAGGCCAGCAAACCAAACCTCTGTCTCTGCTTTGTCCTTACAAATCTTTCAAATTAAAAAAAAAAACAAAAACATAAATAATAAGTGAATTTTCAATTTTATAATATAAGTTGAAGTGGTCTCTTTACTAACCAGATCAAGTGACCTTTCTCTGTTGTTATATAGAAGTGAAAATGATAAGTGATCTTTCTCTGGACGTAAAAATCTCTTAAAAACAGCCTATTCATGAAAAAATGTTAGAAACAAAAACAAACACTTGCTTATAAGATAAATATCCAGTAAATCAGGTTAAACTCACAGTTCTTTGTCCCGGGACGATACGAGAAACTTCAAATAACTTCAAACCTTTTTCTTCTCCACGCGAGAACCAAATCAACGTTTTTTCATCCTGTCATCAACATAGATATACTATGAGCACAATGTGTAATAGTAAGCACGAAATATCATACTCGTACAAACATATGTATAGTTTGTATAACATATAAAAGAAACATCGAAAACATTGCATACCGGAGAAAGCCTGAATGCGCGGAATTTAGGTTTCCCTTTCCGACTGTACTTGAGTAATTGAGTTCCCTTTTTCAGTACGACAAGTGCCTACAACAAAATGAAAACGTTTATTATAAAGTGTGGTGAATGAGCCAAAAAAGAAAAATTGCATACTCCATTTCGTACTTCATGTGAGGTATCAAGAATCAACATATATAGCTTTTATCACAAATACAAGAAAATAAGCAAATTCCAAAACTCGAAAACATCATTTGTCCAAATTGTGAAAGTATTTTCATTGAACATAAAATTTCATTGAACAAGCTTGTTGTTCGTTTATTTTTATTTCTTATGGCTGAAAAGATCTCCAATATAGTAGTAATGTTTTGCGGGTAATAAGATAGAAGAAAACAAACTTGGTCGATGTCACGCTCGTGATGGATATAACAACTAGCAGGATCTGCCATTCCATCTGAGAAACCCGAGAGAAGAACGTCGGATAAACTCAAGAAGCATCAAGTGTTGTAATTCACCTGTCTTCATAGATTCATTTGTCGTCGATTCCTTTCTCTAGCTTGATCCGCTTCAAGTCTCATCCAAAATCATTTAAATTATCTCCAATCTATCAAAACATATCTACACACAAAAAAATCTTGGAACGTTTCAGTCTGAAATGATGATATGAGGAAATGTAAGAATGGTTAAGTGGTGAGATAATATTTTTTTGAGAGAAGATCGCCATTTTAGGAATGCTTGAAACCACCATAGATTTAGCTCAGACTTTGGCGCTCTTCCTTCTTTCTTACCACGTTTCTCTGTCCTTTAATCTTAAAGATAATAATTAACATTTAGCTTAAAATAGACATATTTTAAGTAATGGTTGTTACGTAATGTTGTGAGGAAGAAATATTTTCTTGATTGTAAGAGATTAGACCAATTCAATGGATGTTTTTGCAACATCCATTAAACATGTTTTACGACCATGATCAAGTTAAATCTAATACCCTTGATCTGCAAATATTGAAATAGAACTAGAAAAATGTACTCACAGCTTGATTTAAGTGTAAACTGTATTCCACGCAAAAAGAAACAACATCATAGAATTTAGTAGCTTGTAGTTTGTACAATGCAACATATACTTACAAATTGGAATTTTATAGTAACAGTGTGATTTTGAACATTTTTATATGTTGTTCATCTTTGTATAAATTTTCGTTAATCCTCTACTCTTGTTGTTACTAAATCACAAAAACCGTAAAGAAAAATTGAGAAGATCGATTGATCGGTATCAAATGTGAACGAAAACGATACCAAATATATGGATGAAAGTGATTTCAATCATTGAAACATGAAAGTAAAAGTATATCATATAATTTGCCTTTCTGTACTACAAAATGTGCCGAAAGTTACTGTCTCCTAATTCTGTACTACAAAATTTGCCTTTCGAGATTGCTACATCGGTCAGAGATTATATTCGACTTATGTCATGTCGCACCGTCTTATTGCTCCTTTAGAAACAAGGTATCATCAAAATACAAGCTCGAGGCAACGTTCTCGGTTTCTAAAGTTCTTGTCTCGTCCTTTTGCCAAGAAATAGTATCTTATAAGGCATAGTGATGAGAGCACTCACTGGCAAATCTACAAATACCAAAGCCAACTATTGGAAAAAGAAGAAGAAGAAGAGGGAGCGCATGAGCTTGTTGATTCGATGGAAGGTGCTTGGAGGAGAGTGGTGGCTGCATCGCCGCACCTTAAGGTGGACGAAAAGGCCAGCGAGTTCATCTATAAGTTTAAAGAGGAGATGAGGATGGAAAAAGAGAGATCTTTTCTTGAGTTCCAAGAAAGGTTAATTCGAAGTTCATGATCTATTTATTCTTCTTTCTGTTTTATTTTTCCTACTTGTGCGACTTTTTGCGTTCTACAACATAAACATTGAGGATTGACTATTGATTATTTTGTAGACTGCTTGATTGTATTTTCTTCATTTTTTCCAAGAAAGCTTTTCACTAATTTCATTTGTTTTTCGGTCGAACGAATGGTTTTCAATTTCGAGTCTTTCTTTTTCTTTTCCTTAAAATATGAAAAGAAGATTCAGATCACAAAGCTGATTCTCCATTTATGCTTGTAAGAGTATTTGTATATAAACAATCCATCAAATAACTCAAGCAATAACATGTAAGCAAATTAAGTTGATTATTTTTAAGTTCATCGAACCAGAGAAAACCCTAAACCTGATCAATATGAAAGATCCTAAAGAAAACAAGAAAAAGAGACTTGGATAGATTGGTGAGACAATTACAAATCAATCTTGGAGCTTTCCTTTTGTCTCGTCCAAGAAGTATGCCTTATTGGATTTGGGCTAAACTTGGAACGTATTTCAGAAGAACTGAGCAAGATGATCTTGACATAGAATCTCTATCATGATCATCCACATGTTGTATGTTATTATTTTCTCCCACAATACGTAAGATTTGGTTACTGAAACACACTAAAACTTTGGTTTGCTCCACGGCCAAGAAACTCATACCATCAGCAAACAATATTTCCCGACCCGGATTAATGGTGTGCACTGTTAAGAACTTGCTCCATGACATGACTGATCCGATACTAGATGTCACCCATAAATTTAAGTCTTCTGAATATGTTTCCTTATTATAATAACCTAACAAACAGAGTTGTTCTTCTCTAACCACTGATAAAGCCGCAACTATATAAGGAAACGGCTGAGGAAGAGACAGACTTTGAAATCTCTCTGTTGAAAAATCAAAACTTAGTATTTTTTATTAATTGGCCACTCCGGATGACGAGCAACCCAATAAGTATTTCCTTTCACAGACACGGGATGATTTTGTCTTATAATCCTATTGGTAGTCACACCAAGAACCCTCCAAGAATCATTGGTAAAGTCATAGATTTCGTACTCATTGTTGGAGATACCAGGAACATGGTCTCGACGATCCACGCTCAAGACTTTGTATTTCTTGCCGGAAGATTTGTTGGCGTAACCAAGAGCAAAAAAGTTTGATTCCTTGTAGTAGCTGTTTCTAGGTTTAATTAACTTGGTTTCTCCTGAACATGGATTCCAAACCTCGAGTCTATTCTCCTTAATAGTGCATAGCAATAATAAGCCTTCACAGTGAAAGACGTTACATATGTGCGGCTCTTTAAGGTATAATCGAGATCCTAACTCAAAAGATGGGGCAACGTTGTTGTGAACTCCATGGAGATTGACAATCTCTAAGTAAACCCTAGAATCCTTCAACATGATAATCATAATCAGAGACTCTGTTGGTGCATTAGCAGAGTGTATCTTAGCAAAGCTCCCAGATTTCAGTAGAGCATTCCATCGTTTCGACGTTGAACGCAATCGTGCCAGAGATTTTGCCGGAACCCTAGAAAGTATCTCTTCTTGCAATTCCAACGGAAGGCTTCTCCACTCCATGTCGACTTGAGGCAAAATAAGTTTGTCAATCAAAATCAAAATCTATAATATAATTTAGAATATGAGAGCGAGAGATGGATAGAGAGCAAGCCGACCCAAGCTTGCGAGCAAATATAGCAGAGAGCTCACCTTTCTTTCCCTGCGAGTCGCAAGCTAGCTAGAAAAAGACCTAAACCCTTATTAAATCTAGGTTTTCTATTTTTAAAAAAATTTAGCCAAGAAAGACAATTTAACATTTTGCGCTAAGAAGTACCTAATAATGCAAATACCAATAGAAAACGGGGAAAAAAACATTGACAAAAATATCATAAAAACAGAACTTTTCATAAGGAAAAAGAGTGGAGATACTCTTCTCAGTGAACTAATAACTATCAATCATCTGCTCCAAGATGAGATATTGCAGCGCGATCGAATACTTGGCGCTTTTCTCGGATGTACCATTACTTGTCAAGAGAAACGATCCATCACCATGACCTTCATCACATTAAATGGATATCACAAACTAAACGTCACAAAATGTTGTAATGTTTATATGAATCAGGGAGAATAAAAAAAAAAACACAAAACCTTTTATCGTAAAGATCTTCGGGATCCATCGTTTGTATATAAACAACGACCTCGGGGAGTCTCCATGGTTAGTCTCAGACAATACAAGCTCACAAAAAGCTTGCCTACTAAAAACAACACTCAGCATTTTGCAAAACACTAGTCATGTAAAACTGAAAAAAGGTTCACTCACTTAGCATCAGCTATAGCATTGTGGCATAGAGCAAGAGTCCGAACCATCGCCATGTCTCTAGCCCGAGAATTCATCATCGAGTTCCTAATCGAACAACTCAAGTCATGAATTCACTATCATCATCATCATCATCATATCATATAATGGATTTGAGCAACCTTACAATTGACTAAAGTAATCGCCGAAATCATCGATTATAACCGCATTTGGAAAATCATCAACACGATGAAGATGAAACGCAGCAAAGTATTTCCTGATTCCTTCATCATCATCCACATATCTTCAATCACAAAAACCAAATCATTCGCTAATTAAGCTAAGTAAATTCGTTTTCAAAATTGGTTTGTGTTCTTACTTCATCTGAATTCGATTGAATACATCAGAGGAAGGATCGATTCCCTGAGAAGAATTTGAGTCTAAGATTCCATAAAACACCTCCATAACAAGATCTAACAGAGGAAGATGCGAAAGGTACCTGAGAGAGAAACGGAGGATTGGATTCAATTCTTTTCCGGTGACAGATGAAGACGACACGATTGTTTGTAGAAGCACTCGCTACATTGAGAGCGAATTGGAAGAGTAGAGAGGTTTTGCCTCTGTAGAGAAGAACAATGAGTCATGAGAGAGACTGAGCAAAGAGGGAATCAATTTTAAGGGAATAGCGTCGGAGGAAGAAAGATACGACGAAATTGGACCGGAGAGGAGAGTTAGTTTATCCCGCCGGCGATTTCCGTCGCCGGAGCTCCGCTTCGTCGGGAAAAATCTCTCCACCATTTTGTCTCAAAGGGGAAACTGAAGCGTCAACAATTAAACCAAGCTGCTAAACCGAAATTAGGACACGGCAAATTTCGAGTTGGTTAAGGGTAAATTATTGGTTAAGAATTGGGAACCGAATTCAGAATTTCGGTTTGGTTATTTATAACAAACCACGAAACAATGGAGTGAAAATTGCAGTAGTTCTCTGTTCTTATAAATTTCTAACTACAAGTTTCTTCTATAAACAAAGATACTTTAGTGTAGAAGATTCTTCATGGGATCATCCTGATGCATCCGGTACGCTTCCATCTCTTCCGGCGTAACCTGGAATTTCATAAACTCAGTTAATCCAAAACATAGTTTAGCTCTAGAATCATTTGTACTATGAAACTATATATATACTACAGTAAAAAGTGAATATTATTACGATTATTGTCGTCACAATATAAGAATATTCGGTCACAATATATATGCCAGATTATCTCACTGGACATTGTATTTCCGTTTTCTTTCGTCTTTCTCCTCTCATCTCTCACCCTCCTATAGCGAAACCAATGACATTAGCGGCAATCATGCAGTCGTTCAACATCAAAAGGACCAAAATTGTTATTGATATTCATACATTCTTGAATCTTGAGAGTTTCTTCTGGTCAAGAACCAAATCTTCATGTATTTAATTTCACTTCCCCAAGTGGCAAATCTTTTCTCCTCTACTGGACTAGGCATTTCTGCAAATCACACTCATAGGTAAACGCTATGAGTGTCATCGAAGAAACCTCATTTGTAGAAGGTGATGCCGAAAATAAGCTTTCTCCATAAGGGTTTGATGAAAATTACAATACAAAGTTAATTTAACAGTATCTAAAAGTTTAAAAACAATTAAATCATATTATTATCTTGAGTATATAGTAAAAAGACAACATCTAGTTTAAGAGTAAATCAATAGTTTATATGTTTTGTTTAATTATAATATAGATATTTTTTGTAAACAATATGCGAGGTTAAATTTGGATGATGACACATGGACGTCATTAACATATAAACCATAAATCATGTTTAGAGATTTTAGATTTTAATTAAAAATGTTTATGATCATTAAGCTCCTTTTTCTCTAGTAATTTATTATAAAAGACTACGTAACTTTACCTTTTCCGCCATAGTTGAACTTCAAAACCTCATTAGAAAATGATTATAACAATGAATCATATAGTAATACAATTTGAATTGCTCTTGTTGTTATAGTGGCATCCAATGTTTCTTGGTTAATTATTTCATCAACTAGACAATATTAACATACATGGACTCTTTGATTAGTAGTCGTACTAGCTAACTACTCAATCTTGGAGAAACAAATGAATACAATTTTTTGATAACGCAGCCTCTAATTAATATACTAACTAACATCACATCAACAGTCAGAGTGTTTTTTTTTGGTAAACAAAACTTTTGAGTTTCTTAGCTTTAACCACTTTAATTTGCACCATTTCACTTTACTCCTAAAACATTTTGATTAGAGCCCGGCTAAGAGATCTTGTTCCCCGCCTGTTCTCGCCAATACATCAAACCAGAAGTCCATCTCACTATCGAAAATCATCTCATAATTAACGGAGCCTAAGTGTTGAAACTCTTGTTGTATCTCATCTAAACCAGCCACTTCTAGGTCATTCGAGGCATAGTTGTGTTCACTTTGGCTATAAAGTGTCTCGTTCCAGAAGCTCTCATCGATGTCCGCACCAAAAGTTTCTAAAGAAACACAATCTTGATCTATAGTACCGATGTCTCCCGGTTTGTAATCCATATTAATCTCGTTGCTATGTCCTTCGTGGCTTATGAGTGTCATCGAAGAAACCTCACTCGTCGAAGGTGACGCCAAAAACAAGCTTTCACCAGAAGGGTTTGATGAATTAGCTAGCTCCGATTCGCTTCTAGTACTGTTCGAGCTCGTTATTACGGATTCAGATTTTGGTTTAGTACCCTTCTTTTTGTTGCTGGTCTTAGGTTTAGCGGGTTGATAATCTTTGAGTCTCTTCTTCAAGTGAGTGTGCCATACGTTCTTGATCTCGTTATCAGTTCTTCCAGGCAATTTCGCTGCAATCGCTGACCATCTAAAGACGATACAAAAAGGAAAACAAAGAACATCAATACAAAATTTAACTAAAGATTAGATCATTGCATAATTAAAAGCATAGTAGTGGACCTAGACGTGTGTGTAAAGTTACTTTCTTTTGGTTATTTATATATAGTAAGAAAACAAAGTAAAACTTGAGTGTCGGTTATATGTGAAGTAAAATACCTATTGCCAAGGATTTGGTGTAAGCTGATAATAGCATCCTCTTCTTCTTTGGTGAAATTTCCTCGTTTTATATCAGGCTTTAAATAATTCATCCACCTAAGTCTACAGCTTTTTCCACATCTCAAAAGACCTGTAATTAATGATTACCAATGTTAAAAAAATGTAATCAAATTGAGGAAATTAGACTATGCATGTATATATGTAAGTAATGTGATATTATAATTTTGTACATACCAGCTTGCTTAGGGAGGGCTCGCCAGTTACTATGGCCATGCTTGAGGATAAAAGAGACCAAGATTTGATCTTCTTCAGGCGTCCATGGTCCTCTCTTCAACCCCATCTTCTCACAGCATGGAGCTCTTCCCATCTCTTTGATTATATGTTGTGATTGATGATAAAATAAAGTTGGTAGTTTTTGTCTTGTGGTGACGATCAAGATATAATGTGGAGATCAAATTCTTATGAGCTTGAGATCAAATGTTGTTGATGAACATATGAGAATGACTGACTGATGGGTTAAGTATTTATACTAAAATTGTCAAAAGACATGTGAGAGAATTCAAAAGCATTGTGAGCTTCTTGGAAATAGGATGAGAGAGAGAGAAAGAGATAGAGAGATGTCTTTTTGGTTATAGGCAACATAGTCAAAAGTATGTTTTTACATAATATAATACTATGTCATGTGTGAATTAATGATATATGATTTAGGGACCGCATAAAACCTTATTATAATAATTGGTCTGCATGTATATATAAATGTGTGTATCCAGTGTGATGGTGAAATATGTGGTGTAATGTGAGTAAACAAAGTCGTCGAGTAGACGCACGAAGGGCACTAAAATGAGCCCACACGTACATTTTCTTAGAAAAAATAAACGTTTTGGAGATTGTATACGACAGAAAAAAAATCAACGTTGGGTGGATTATGTGTTGACCCAAAAAAACACTATTCGTATATCTGCTCTTAAAATAGTTTTACTTTTCTTATTAAACTTAGACATCTTAGAAATGGTGCTTTAGGTTAACCACGTCCGTTTCCAGTGATGCTAAATGCCATAAACAAGTTATTGGTCATTATAATTATTAAAAAAAAAAAAGAGTTATTGGTCATTGTGAACGTTTTTAATATAAAAATTCATAGATTCTACAAATTATTTTGAGATTCATAGAAATAAAAAAAAAATTATAATCTACTACATAATTCAGTCAAAATATTTTTACTTTCATTTCATCAAACAGTTCGATTAATATTTAGTTAGTTCAATACAACTACCAAATTTTTAATATATTAATTAAGAGTAATTTTCAGCACACATTTGCTTATCTGTTCGTGATATGTTTTTTATTTGCATGTGTACTAAAATATTATTCTTATTCACTTATTATAGATTTGTTTGGTTTAAAAATTATCTTTAATATTATATGTAATCTAGTTATTCTAAATATATTAGATTACTCAATATGTTAATTATTTACTTCAAAATCTAGTTATTACAAATTTACCTGACGAGGCTTTCACAAGTATGTTACTTTCTTAGTCTAAAATTATAGATATTGGTGAAAAAAAAATGTAATATTTTCACCAGTTTTTATATTTCCTTGAAAATCCAAAAATAGAACCAAAAACATCAATATCTGTCCGCGCGATAGAGAACAAGTTGCGAGAAATACTAGCAAGTTGACTAACGCGTTCACACGTATCGCACCCTTTTAAGTTTTAACCTATAACTTTACTCTTCTTCTGTATTTTGGTAGTATTGTTCAAAGTTTCTGGTCAACAAAAGAGGCTTACCTGCAGGTTTTAGTTTTACCATATCTATAAATTTACACTAAGAATTAAACTATCATTATTATTTTATTACCAAACTATAAATAATGCTAATGATTAAATGATCATTTGTTAAAAATCAATTTTCTTTTGCGGTACTAGCTAAATAATTAAAGTATTGTAATATGAACTATATTGACATATAAAGTTTATGTACCCGAATTTATTGGGTCAGAAAGACAAAAATTTTAACTGCATCAGGTTTGGACCATAGATTTTAATCAATTTATTTAGGATAATTGCTACAACACACCCTGAATTAGTTAATGTTTTGTTAGCCTAATTAATATAATTTTTATATGTATTTAGTTGTAGACATAATCCACAGCTTAATGTGAAAATCACTTTCATCTCTATCTTTTTGTTTCTTTAATTTCTCTGATTTGATATATGGTATGACCGTATGAAGGCAAAACATCAATTATTTTGTTTCTTCGTGGGATAGTTCTACTAAGGCTTCGGGCTTGGGATAGACTCTCTCTCCTCCAGGATGTCCTTTCAAAAAGAACTCTGCTCTTTGTGAGCATGTTTCTTCTCCGCTAGCTGCGGAATCTTTGGCTGTGCGCACGGCTCTTCTGTCTGCGGTGTCTTTGGGCTACCAGGATATTCAGCTCTTCTCGGATTGTCAAATTCTCGTTAAAGCAATCCTATCTAAGTCTCTTCTCGTGGAGATTCATGGTATTCTGTTGGATTTTTTTGAGTGTACCAGGCGCCTCGACAATTTCTCCTGCTGTTTTGTTCCTAGATCTTCTAATGTTGTAGCTGATACTGTTGCTAAAAAAGCTCTTACTTTGTATTCTCAAAACATTTGATTTAATGCAATGCGGTTTGACAAAAAAAAAATTTATTCGAATTCATCTTTTTTGCAGATAGTTTTGTATTCAACTTTTCTTTTCGAATTTTGCGAGTCTATAAATCCATTCTACTAAATTATGCAATTTTATATATGCAGATATATTAGCATCACCTTGCTTAATCATATTCATATTGTTTATCAAAAAATGATATCTCTTCATCAAATATTGTTCTAAATGGTGTTACTCCTAGCACCTTTCATAAAACTAAAGTTGGTATGTGTTGAAAACAAGTGATAAAATTTTGGATGTGTTCTCAAATATTAAATTCTACTTGTGCACTAGTGAAGATCATTTGTTTTAAATTTACAATGTTAATAGCCGGTCAACAAATTTATACACGAGTATTCGATACATACCAAATACCTTTGTCAATGAGGAACCGACTTTCTATATATATATATATAAAGGTAAAGAAAACTAACACAAAATAAATACCGCTTTTTCTAATGAGAACGCATGTAGTATTAAATACCTTGGTGCATTTAGACTATTTCTTGTTTCATAATGCTAATTAATGAGTGACCAGAAAAAGTCATATATATTCACATACGTAGGGGATTTTAGTTACCATGTTTTTAAAAAAATCACCTTTTCAAACTCAAATCTAAATCCAATTGACATCAATTCAAGAAGAGCCGGTAAAATTTTGACTTCAGGGAATAAATATTATACCTATAAGAAGTATGATATAGCAAGCATATAGCTGAAGAACAAATTAAAGTGGTTGCAAAGTTATATTGCCTAATTAATAAATTATTGATAGTATACAGTATTACATTAAATATTGGAATAAATAATCATGTGAAAGCATGTCATCCTTGACTGACTGTTTAATTTAGAAAAATAATTAATCAAATATAGATCACTTTTTTTTTTTGTCAAATCAAATATAGATTACTGCATGTAGTTTTAAAGATTTATGATTTTAAATATGTGATAAGATTTTTTCAACTCAGAAGTTGGAAAAACAGCTGGTATGTTCATGTTTTCTCTTAAACTTGCATTATACTTTCTGAGTTTACAGTGTACTAATCTCGGAATTACGTACGTGTACTTATAAACCATATCATATTCCTAAAATAGCATATAATCGTAGAATTTGATTTTGTAAAGTAAAAGCTGACTTTTGAAAGAATGATAAGAATGTGAATGTCAACTTCAAAAAAAAAAATTTCAACATAAATCATTAACGTCTGGTACTGAATTCTAAGAAGTAAAATGATATTATATGGGCATGCAAATTGGAATTCAACAGAAAAATATTTTATTGGGTTTCAAAACGCGTTATATAAAAAAAAAACACTAAAGTCGCAATAGTACGTACGGAGTGAGAGAACAAGATGGGGTTTGGTGCTTTTGTCCTGTCCCGAAATATGGCAAATATATTATAATTTTTTTTTTCTTTTTTGGACAGAGGTATTATTATATAATTTAGAGGACCATTATTCCACTATTTTTCAGCTTTTTTGGGCTAATTCTTTCAATATTATTTTTGAAAGAACATTGGATTTCCTTTTGGAGACTGGTCTTCTTTCTCTCACGGGTCAACAATAGATTTGGTTGCGTAATAGAAACTTGTTAAATTTAGAATATAAAAATAAGTATTTGTTGTGTGTTCACACTCTATAGAATAAGGTAATTCTTTTCTTTTGTTTTTTTTCTGCTGAGTTTATTTATTTATTTTCTTTCTCCAAAATTCAGATCGACTTGATTTTTTTCCTCCCGTGGTGAGTTTATTATTTGATGGCATGCACTTTTGAAAAATAGGTCATATACTCATATCTATACAAAATTAATAAATTAGTCTTTATTTATTACTTTGTTAAATTCAGATTGATTTTGTAATCTACAACTATGATATGTTCTTAAAAACTTTTTTTTGTCGTCGTTTACATTCCACATACACATAATATAAAAAAATTGAATACATGCAGATAAATATACTGATACACGCCGACATCACTATTTTTTTTTTTTGATAAAATGACATCACTATTACAAACCATGCTTTAATTTTTGATGATCACGATGACATCACTACTGTTAATTATTACGATACAAGTTTTGGTTAATGATGTATGACTGGTTTACATTTACAGTGGCTATGTAAACGTATTTCAACGCCAAAGTTTGGTAATTAGCAGACGATCGATCAACGTCGTCTACTCTCAGCATGTAGCTCCAAACTATGTGAACTCAAATTTTGAAGACTTGGAATGAATTAGACAATTAATACCTCGTCCACTCTATCAAGACTAGACCTACAAAATTCATACAAGATATATTTAGTTGAACATATGTATGTGTACAAATTGTCCAAGATTCTTTTCATAATTACAATTGAATTGAGATATTAATTCCTCCGCGTTCTTATTATCATAATAACTTCAGTCAATTCTTTGACTTCACACATTATATTTCAGTTTGCAATAGTTTAGGTTTCTGGTATTGAATTGACAATTTTGTTTTAACCAGCGTTTATGGTCTAGATAATCATTTCAACGATCTTTATTTTCTTTTTTAAATGCGGAGAAATTTTATGATAATTTGAGTCTATGTATAGTTTCAGAAACCTAATGTTATAATCAGTATATGTAATGGATTAGAGAATCCTTAAAATACAACATTTTTAAGTTTTGTTGTCAAAAAAACCATTATTAGTTTAATTTTCTAAAAATAATACCAAAAGTTTTTTTTTTTCAAAAATACCATAAACACAAAAAATTATTTCAAAACTTCTGAATTTAGATTTTTAGGTTTGGGTTCACTATTTTAGATTTAGGCTATAGTTTATATGACGTAGGATTTAGTTTTGAAGGTTGAAAATTAATTTTAATTTTGTGATATTTTGAAAAATCAAATATTAAGTGAGATATTTTTAAGAATTATCCAATTTATTATGTGTATTTTAGTCGGACAGTTTGGATAACATCGTTTAATAAGAGAGTGATTTTCATTTGAAGTAGTCTAATTAAAATG